TGGGGCTGTTTTGCTTCTGCAGGTACAGGGAAGCTTCAGCGTGTGCAAGGTACCATGAATTCTCTTCAGTACCAGGAGATATTGGATGGAAACGTGATGCAGTCCGTCACACACCTGAGGCTTGGGAGACGTTGGACCTTTCAACAGGACAATGATCCCAAGCATACCTCCAAGTCCACTAGAGCATGGTTGCAGAGGAAAGGCTGGAACATTTTGGAGTGGCCATCGCAGTCACCAGACTTAAATCCGATTGAGAACCTCTGGTGGGACTTAAAGAAAGCAGTTGCAGTGCGCAAGCCTAAGAATGTGACTGAACTGGAGGCCTTTGCCCATGAAGAATGGGCGAAGATACCCGTAGATCGCTGCAAGACACTTGTGTCAAGCTATGCTTCACGTTTAAAAGCTGTTATAACTGTAAAAGGATGCTGTACTAAGTACTAAGATTGAATGTCACTTGGGGGTTGAATAAAACTGATAATGCTGTGAGCACAGAAAAGACATTTGTGGTTATTTCATTATAACTGTTATGTTATATTTGTCTGACCTACAAGTGCCTCTTTAATGTAAATGTAAGCAAGATGACTGAATGATCAAAAGCAATGTCAAACTGGCCAAAACACTCAATTTCAGTGGGGGTTGAATAATTTTGGCCACAACTGTATATTCTACGTCTTCTTGGCTTTTCTGTATTTAAAACATTTCTTCCGGATAGTTTCTAATATCCTCAACCTTCTCCTGGATTGATAGTTTTTTTCTAGTTTCTTATAATAAACTGAGGCGTCTTATCCATCTGACTTTCCTATAGGCAGCAATGGCTGAGAACACGTGACCTATATATACATTACAAGTATGCAGACAGACCATTAAACCCGCCAGCCCTACCTGATGATTGATGGAGGTTTCATCACACAGTTGTATGTTCCCTGTACACCAGCTCCATAAACTTTACTTCTACTGACGTTGGTGTTGTTCTGAATTCCTCTGTACACGTGGAGAGGATGGGGGTGCGAGGTCAGGTGCACAGATACAAAAAGGAACATATAATATACAGTGTGCATATATAAATATTTTTAGCAAAATTCAAAAACCAGGAATTGCAGTATACATAAAGTGTGTTTAAATGTCTATCAGAATAAAAAGTTACAGTTTGGCTAGAGTTTCCGGCAACAAGCACCCAACAAGCCCAATGCAGGGTTGTTGTCCCAAACTGTAGCCAGACATTCCTGTTTTGTCTGATGGACATTTAAATAAACTTTATGTAGCACAGACCCCAACTGGACTTGAAGTTTTGTCCCAGGTCCTATTCCCTAATGGGGGTGCACGGCAGCCAGGCACACAGCAGCTCCAGTCTCACAACACAATAAACCAGGCAGTGAGTGTCTTTTTGAGGTTTAATGCACACTGAACTTGGTTGGGGTGTAGGGTGAGCCTTGGGATACTCCACAGTGCACTCTATAACTAGACTCCTCAGGGTGGGCCCCTTCTGGACTAGTAGTAGGTGAACATACAACTAAGGGGACTCCAAATACAGGAGCAGTTCTAAGTCAGCAACTCTGGAGCAAGCACTCCAGGGGTTAAGCGGCAACAGCCACCAGGATCTCTCTCAGGCCCATGCTCACAGTGTCCCTATGTACTTGGAAGCCTCTTTCTAAAACCAGCCAGCCGCCTCTTCAGTGAGCCTCCAGGCCAGATCTTCACTGAACTCCCTATGACTTGGCTTCAAAAACTCTGAAAAGTAGACCGTCCCAGCTCTCCCGGAGCTGGGACCTCAGTGCCCTTTTCAGGAGACAGGCCCCCAGCTCTCCCTGAACTGGGACCTCTGTGGCCTTTCAGAAGACAGACCCCCAGCTCTCCCGGAGCTGGGACCTCTCGGTGCCCCTTTCAGGAGACAGACCCCCAGCTGTCAGTGATAACATTCCAATACATGATGAATCTGAGACTTCTTATTTATCAAAGGGTCTGATGGAAGAGTAGTTCAACCAATCAGATCCTCCGTCCGCTGCGTGCAGAGAATTAGAGGACAGAAAACTTCATTTACTGGGACTGTTCAATTAATGTAATAAAGTGAAGTTGTTCTGAGTTGTCCAATCATAGGCAAGGAAATGCTCATTTTTTTTACCTCTTCTGTACATGATTGTTATCCCCCTTGCTATCTCTCGCCTTCACTATTGTAACTCCCTTCTCATTGTCTGACCTCATCGCAGGCTATCCCCCCTCCAGTCTATCATGAATGCTGCTGCCAGACTCATCCACCTTACAAACCGTTCCATATCTGCCACCCCTCTCTGCCAATCCCTCCACTGGCCTCCATTCAGTGTCCTCCATCCCTCTCTGCCAATCCCTCCACTGGCCTCCATTCAGTGTCCTCCATCCCTCTCTGCCAATCCCTCCACTGGCTTTCCATTTAGTGTCCTCCATCCCTCTCTGCCAATCCCTCCACTGGCCTCCATTCAGTGTCCTCCATCCCTCTCTGCCAATCCCTCCACTGGCTTCCCATTCAGTGTCCTCCACCCCTCTCTGCCAATCCCTCCACTGGCCTCCATTCAGTGTCCTCCACCCCTCTCTGCCAATCCCTCCACTGGCTTCCCATTCAGTGTCCTCACCCCTCTCTGTCAATCCCTCCACTGGCCTCCATTCAGTGTCCTCCATCCCTCTCTGCCAATCCCTCCACTGGCCTCCATTCAGTGTCCTCCATCCCTCTCTGCCAATCCCTCCACTGGCTTCCCATTGCCCAATGGATAAAATTCAAAACATTAACAATAACATATAAAGCCATTTATAACTCTGCCCCAAATTACATCACCAATCTTGTCTACAAATATTTCCCAAACCGTACAACCTCCTACTCTCTAGCTCCCTTGTCTCCTCCTCTCATGCTCGTCTCCAGGACTTCTCCAGAGCTTTCCCCATCCTCTGGAACTCTCTACCCCAATTTATCAGACTATTGTCTACTCTGCTCACTGTTAGGCAATCTCTGAAAACCTATCTCTTCAGGGAAGCCTATCTGCCCTCAGCTAATACTGGAATCTTCTACTCCTCCTACCAGTCCATCCCCCACAGTTATTACCTTTTGTACCACTAGCCCCTCCCTCTTAGATTGTAAGCTCCAAGGATCAGGGCCCTCCTATCCCTCTTGTATTGAACTGTATTGTTGCTGTATTGTCTCCCTTTATATTGTAAAGTGCTGAGCAAACTGTTGGCGCTATATAAATCCTGTATAATAATAATAATTGGATCTTCATAGTGAGGCTCCATGCACACTCCATGCGTTTATTAAGCTCAAAAAATGCTGGATAAACATCGCTGGATAATAGCGTTTTTAGTAGCATTTTAGTAGTGTTCAGAAGTGTTTAGGAACGTTAGCGTTTTATTAGCATTTTTATAGTACATGTAGAGGGGGGAAAAAAATGCTAGGAGCGTTTTAGTAGCGTTTAGCAGAATTTAGGAACATTTAGCGCTTTTTTTCTACTGGAAAAACTCTACAAAAGCTATTTTTTTTCTGCTCCTAAGTGCTGAAGCACAAAAAATGCTAATAGCCTAACATAGTGTACATGGACACATAGGATACACACTATTTAGCTCTAGGAGCAGGAAAAAACAATGCTGATAACAGCTTCTAGGAGCCTGAAAAAAGCGCTAGTGTGAATAGAGCCTTATGCAGACCATAGACGGATCGAACATCGATTTTTCGATTTTTCGAGCGATAAACGAAAAATCGGTCGTTCGTTAAGCCGGCGTTACCACCAATGATTACAAAAATCGGCCGACTAAATCATAAAGTTAACCCCATATAACAGCCAAACTTCTGTTCCTTGCAGGTCACGGCTCATGCGCAAATTTTTTTTCGTTAAAACGATCGTCTGATTTGGCCACCGTTGCCGGGAAAATCGGCCGTTTTCCACAAATTTTCCAACATGACCAATAATCTCAAAGTGCAAAAAACCCGAAAACCGGCCGACCAATTAACCCACTAACAGTGCGAAAATCGCCGATTTTTCTTTCGGATGGAAAATCGGCCGATTTTCGAACCGTCTATGGCTGGCAATAACGCAGCTTCACCTTATTTACTAAGCTCCATTAATATACCCTACAACCTGACTTGCTGATTCAGAGCAGATACTTTTCTTCCTTCAGATACTTTGATAAATACGGCCTATTGTTTTCTGCGCAGCCGAGTGCGGCCTATTGCTCTCTGGCATTGGGCGTTTTGCGGGGGAAGGGATACGCACTCGTCTTTCTGTGCCATCTGCGGGTCCACTCCCAATGTGTGGAATGAAATCACATCATTCAGACCTTGGCATTACCAATAATGGAGGAGGAATCAATTCAGCTGTTTTGGAAAATATGACAAAAACAACATTTAGTGGATCGAAGATTTTGGGGAATTTCACAGGAAATAAACGCATTTATTTGTAAATTTCCCTCGGCTGGGATATTCCGTGGAGGACAGGTGTTGTGTCAGTACATCAGGGGTCATCAGAAGGGTGTGCAGACAGATCGGGCCCTGATGACGGGTGTTGTGTCCCAGTCCTGTGCCCTCATCCTGGGGTCAGTCTTTGTCACAAGAAGCCGGCTGACATCTGAGTCACAGTAAACTAACTGCCAGGAGGGTCTCCATGGAATCAGACCGTCTGAATTTTCACGCTGCTAATGAGCAACCCTCCGAACCGGGTCACTTTCTTAAATCATTTCCATGTCTGCTATTGTCCTGGTTACATTTTTTCTGTATACAGTGCCATACGTTATGTACATATTTATTTATTATCATTTTAGTTTTCCTGTAGCGCTACCCCCTTAGGAGTCGCTGGGTTTTTGGGTCCCTCTATAGTCCTGTACAGCCAGGCAACACGCATTTTTCTTCCACACTTTGCACTCAGAGTCAGTAAACAGTCCTTGAACTTGGTTTTATGCTTTATTAACCTCCCTGGAGGCATTCCCAAGTGTAGCTCGGGGTAAAGTTTCAGCACCATAAGCCATAACCCCGAGCTACACTCAGGAACAGGGGCGGACTGACCATTTGGAAACTCGGGCACTGCCCGAGGGCCCGGGGTCAGTAGGGGGCCCCATGAGATGCCCCTGGTACCTTTTTTATAGGATTTTTTGAGTTTGGGCCAGGACACAGGGGCCCCATGATCCCCTATTGCCCGGGGGCCCCATGAGTTGTCAGTCCGCCCCTGCTCAGGAATACCTTGCAGCGCTGCTCCGGGATCTCTTCTTCACTTACCTTGTCCTGCGCTCCTGCAATGTCCCCCCTGCAGCATCCCTTGTAATGTCCTCCGGTGGATGCCGGCATTCGCCTTCCGGGTTCCGTTCCCTGCGAGCGCCGGGACAAACGGGGGACGGAACGGCGGGAAATTTAAAAATGTCAAAAAGTGACATTCACTAAATACACTAAAATCACATAGTATAACATTCCTGTATCAAACCATTTCACATACATTTTGTCCCGAGTGCTTTGTCCGGCGCCCTGCCTGCATTTTTACTGTTCTTTCTGCCTGGAAACTGAGAAATGTCCATGGCGTCCAAAAAGCGCCCCTTTAGGTCAAAAGCGGTTTTACACCGGCTAGAGAACAGCGATAGTAAATCAGAACCACTTACAGAATTGAGTGATAATGATTTGTGGGGAAATTCGTCATCAGACACTGAAAACGATTCTGCGACTTTGCTCAGTGATGTGCGAACTTGACGCTCTGTTTCAAATTTCAGTGTTTTTGGTTAGATTATATTATTGAATTAAATTTATTATTATATTATTATTTTTTATGACTAATTATTAAATTATAATTTATGATTTCGTGTTTCAAATTTTAGCAGTGTAGCCAGTCAGTGCCGCCCATCAGTGCCGCCTATCAGTGCCCTTCAGTGCCGCCTATCAGTGCAGCATCATCAGTGCCTCCTCATCAATGCCCACCAGTGCCACCCCATCAGTGGCCATCAGTGCTGCATATCTGTGCCACTTCATCAGTGCCCATTAGTGCTGCCTATCAAAGCAGCCTCATTAACGCACATCAGTAAATAAAATACCCAGTGGCAATTAAAAACCACCAAAAGAAAGCTCTATTTGTGTGAAAAAAATGCAAAACATTTCATATGGGTACAGTGTTGCATGACCGCGCAATTGTCATTCTAAGTGCAACAACGCTGAAAGCTGAAAATTGGCCTGGGCAGGAAGGGGGTAAAAGCGCCCTGTAGGCAAGTGGTTAAGTATGCAGATCAGCCCCTCCTCACCCCCACCCACTGCCTTCTAGAAACATCTCAAGCTTCTAGAGCAGGAGGAGGCAGGAGCAGGGAACTGACTTGCAGAACCCTCAGCCCTGACCTAAAGTTACCTGGCTGACTCACCCCAGGCTGACTCATACCAAGCTGCTATCCAGCCTCTAACTAAAAACCTAGCTAGCTCCACCTGGCTAACAAGACGGGCACTACATTTCTATCTATCTATCTATCTATCTATCTATCTATCTATCTATCTATCTATCTATCTATCTATCTATTTATCTATCTATCTATCTATCTGTCTGTCTACAACAATAATATATAATATAAAAAGTGCACTCAGGGCTTCTAATTTGCAACCTCAAGGAGTTTTCTCCCATCTCCCGGTCAAACAGAGGGAGTGCCGCACCAAATGGTAAAGGAGCCCAAATCACTTTAATGGTTCACAGATAGACAGTCAATGTGTTTTGGGGGCCTCAGTAGCCAGAGGGTTCATTTTTATTGGCAGTAATAGTAATAGTTCTGCTTCTCAGGCTTCACTCCTCCTCCCACTTCTCCTCTGTAGAAGGACTCCTCCGGCTTCCCATCAGCAGTACCAAAAGTATTACCAACATGACAACATTTAGTACTTGTGATTGTGGAGTCTGTTAGTCCAAATTACATAATACATGACCAACTTCAAAGGTCTACGGGAAGATGGCGTCATGTCGTATACAGGTCTATAGGGTTATACACGATGGGTTTCGGTATAATGACAGAGTAAATGTTATGCTGTGATTGCCGTACTCATGCAGCCATCTTTGATGAGACATGTACTAACCTAATATATTCAGTAATAATTATTTGTCATAGCACAAACACCAATACTAGGCCCCAGATTAACGGCAGCTAAATGTAGTAAGGAATATGTCCATAAAATGATCCTGAAATGGACACAGAGTCCTCCAAAGGTAGAGGGATATCTGAAATATAGTGGAATAAAGAGGGCGCTTCTAAGTGCAGCTCACAGGCTTGAGAAAGAGGCGGTACCACTTTGAAACATGTAGCCATGCCCCACACACGCCCCCAGAGTTTGATTTCACTGCTGAGGTTCCTATACTGTAAAACCTTTGACAGTTCGGCTTCCATGCCTTGGCTTACATTCTCCATTGTTCTGCTTAGCTGGATGTTCTTCCATACTGCCTGGGACCACACATGATGGCTTTTGGGTTACATGACATGCATTTTATTCTTTTTACTCATGTGAGTGGATATTTATTCTTTTATGAATAAATGTGTTTCCTGCTGCACTTAGAAGCGCCCTCTTGTGCTTTTCTACTAACTCGACACACTAGTGGAGATTATACCGCATGCTACAGACCAGAATACACACATTACAAATGCCCCATCCTAGAAGCAGAATCAGTGGGCAGCACAGTGGCTAAATGGTTAGCACTTCCGCCTGGCAGTATAAGGGTCGTTGGGTCGAATCCCAGCCACGGCACCGCCTGCCTGGAGTTTGCATGTTCTCCCTGTGCCTGTTTGGGTTTCCTCCCACACTCCAAAGACATGCTGGTAGGTTAATTGGCTCCTGTCTAAATTGGCCCTAGTATGTGTATGTATGAATGTAAGTTAGGGACCTTAGATTGTACACCCCTTGAGGGTTAGGGACTGATGTGAATGTACAATATATATGTAAAGCACTGCGTAAAATTGATGGCGCTTTATAAGTACCTGTATTAAATAAATGTCACTAGTGTACCTGAGGAAAGGCCTCTGTGCTTTGATAGCTTGCTATTTATTTTTACTTTTTTGTTTAATTTTTTTATGCTTATTTCAGTTTGAAGAAAACCGCTCTTCATAGTGGCCCTTTGTAGCGGCTCCTCGGTGGCCCCGCAGACACAAGACTAGGACCACCATGGAGGGGCGACTTCTATTCCTTTTGTGTAAGTACAACATGTAACAAAGTGTCAGAAACCATCATCTGGCTTCAAGTGTGAACACGGCAGTACCAGGGCTGAGATGATGTGTCTGGCTAGGCCCCATGTACTGTCATACCACCAGAGCTACGGATGGCCCTTCCACCTTGTATAATATATATGTCTGTTCTACATGGACTGAAATGGTGTATCAATTCAATCCATTTTTCAATGTTTCAATAATTTATCTACCCACCCATACGTCCAACTATCATTTATCCATCCTCTATCTATTTATCTTCCATCCATCCAGTTATCATCATTCTCCATGTACCCATGCATCCATTCATCCATCCATCCATTCATCCATCTATCCATGTATCAACAATATATCTACCTGCCCATTCATTTGTCTATCATCCATCAATTACCATCATCCATTTATCATCCATCCATCCATTCATTCTTCATCAACCCATGTATCATCCATCTAATCCATCCACCTGTCATCCATCCATTCATTTTTCATCCATCCATTCATCATCAACCCAAGCATCATCCATCTAATCCATTCGCCTGTCATCCATCCATTCAATTTTCATCCATTGATCATCAACCCAAGTATCATCCATATAATCCATCCACCTGTCATCCATCCATTCATGCATCCATCGACCATCCATCCATCCATCCATCCATCCATCATCCACCCATCTATTCATTGGTCATCAACCCAAGTATCATCCATCTAATCCATCCACTTGTCATCCATCCATCCATGCATCCATAGCCCATCCATCCATCACCCACCCATCCATTCATTCTTCATCAACCCAAGTATCATCCATCTAATCTATCCACCTGTCATTCATCCATCCATTCATGCATCCATTGCCCATCCATCCATCATCCACCCATCCATTCATTTGTCATCAACCCAAGTATCATACATCTAATCCATCCACCTGTTATCCATCCATCCATTCATGCATCCATCACCCATCCAGCCATCATTCACCCATCCATTTATTTGTCATCAACCCAAGTATCATCCATCTAATCCATCCACCTGTCATCCATTCATCCATTCAATTTTCATCCATTCGTCATCAAACCAAGTATCATCCATCTAATCCATCCACCTGTCATCCATCCATCCATCCATTCATGCATCCATCGCCCATCCATCCATCATCCACCCATCAATTCATTTGTCATCAACCCAAGTATCATCCATCTAATCCATCCACCTGTCATCCATCCATCCATTCATGCATCCATTGCCTATCCATTCATCATTCACCCATCCATTCATTTGTCATCAACCCAAGTATCATCCATCTAATCCATCCACCTGTCATCCATCCATCCATTCAGTTTTCATCCATTCGTCATCAACCCAAGTACCATCCATCTAATCCATCCACCTTTCATCCATCCATCCATTCATGCATCCATCGCCCATCCATCCATTATCCACCCATCCATTCATTTGTCATCAACCCAAGTATCATGCATCTAATCAGGGGCGGACTGACCATTTGGAAACTCGGGCACTGCCTGAGGGCCCAGGGTCAGTAGGGGGCCCCATGAGATGTCCCTGGTATCTTTTTCGTAGGCTTTTTTGAGTTTGGGCAAGGACACAGGGGCCCCATGATCCCCTATTGCCTGGGGGGCCCCATGAGTTGTCAGTCTGCCCCTGCATCTAATCCATCCCCCTGTCATCTATCCATCCATGGCCTTTATGAGGAGCAAATATTCTTAGTGAAGCAAACCTGGCATGGATGTTGATAGCACACCGAAATGTCAGTGCTACATGTACCTATGGTTTTATTACTCTTACAAACTAAACCTCGGCGCTCCCTACCATTCCGCTAACCAACATGGCACCTCTTTATTGGCTGGTTGGATGGTGGAATGACATTCGGTGTGGCAGAGAGGTTGGAAGCTCTGGTTGCAGAGTCATGTCGAGTTTGGCAGAGGCAGGGCCAGGGGCAGACTGACCATTCAAGCACAAGGGCACTGCCCAAGGGCCCTGGTTCAGTAGGGGGCCCCATGAGATGCCCCTGGTACGTTTCATTGGCTTTTTCATAGGCTTTTTTGGGTATGGGCGAGGACACAGGGGCCCCATGATCCCCTATTGCCCAGGGGCCCCATAAGTTGTCAGTCCGCCCCTGGGCAGGGCATATCTGAAGATACACGGAGAGCCTGCTTTTTTAGCACTGATGTCATGGTGCAGTTTGGATTATATGACAGGTTCCCTTTAAACCGGATACTCCTCTAACTACACAAGCCCACAATGTATCCAGTCCTTATCAATATATTTCTATGCAATGAATTAAGTTGTGTTTGATAGTGATAATCCACAGGATACAGTTATGAATGAATTAAAAACATTATTGACCATAATGATGATGATCTTCTGACCGGGGGCTGGGTTGTGTGTTGTAGGTGTTCTGGCGCTGGGCCGAGCTGCCGTGATTCTCAATGACTGTCAGATCATACAGACTTTACATGGAAAGCTGCTGTATGATAACCGGGTCACATACATGGTAAGTTATCATCTCATGAACTCAGACTAACCCCCATCTGTCCAGACGATGAGCGGCCCAACAAGGTTTTATATCAATATTTATAGACAAACCGCTAAAATTCTATAAACTATTCCATCTATGGAAAGATTCCACTCCTCACCATGAAGAGGATGTTTATATATAATTCAGGGGCTGAAGCCCTTTATGTCCCCAACAGGAAGAGTCTTATTACTCTTGAATGCTGGGACCCCCAATATGTGTGTTGTATTTAAAGAGGAACTCTGGGCACAGAACAAACCATAGCCATGTATGGGATCGCCCATCAGAGAAAATGCTTGTGTGGGTCTTTCAGTGCCCAGTTTTCTCTCTAGTGGGCTCCATAGTGCCGTCCTCACATCATCCTTTACCTGCCTTTTTATGACAGATATGATTCCCCGTCAGAGAATGTCACTTTCACCACTTTATAAATATGCCCCAAGCATCCGTTGTCAGCACACGACTGGGCTTACACCCAGGCGTCAACATTTTCATACATTTTTTTTTGCATTGGCTAGGCGAATTGACATGTATTGACATTGACTGCAAAGCATGCCGCCAAAAGGGTGACATAGAGCTCACAGCTCCACTCTTTAATAGAGCAGTTTTTATACACAGATACAGAGAGATGGAACTAACAGAATGTTTTCTCCTTGGCAGCGGGAATATTTTCCTATTGACTACAAGCTGTATGTAAAGTATGAAGAGGTTCTCCGATGTCAGAACATCACCACACTGGTACACCGAGCCTGGATATGTGCTGTGCATGCTGCAGAACCTTTGTTGTCATTATGTGAAATGCTGACCCTGCTCTGCTCCAGTGTACCCTGCTCATTCCACCATATTCCTTTCTGCCCTGCTCTTCTCCACACTTCGTTACCCCTGCTCTTCTCCACTCTTCGTTGCCCCTGATCTTCTCCACACTTCGTTGCCCCTGCTCTTCTCCACTCTTCGTCTCCCCTCCTCTTCCCCACTCTTTGTTGCTCCTGCTCTTCTCCACCCTGCTCTTCTTTGCTCTGCTCTTTCCTGCTCCATTCTGCTCTTTTCCACTTCTCCTTGCACTTCTCTACTTTGCTGTTCTCCACTCTGCTGTGCACTGCTCTTCTCCACCCTGCCACATTCAGCCCTGCTGTTCTCTACTCTGCCCTGGTCTATTTGGTGCTTCTCCACATGTTTTTCTATGCTCTGACTATTCTGCATTCTGTTCTTTTCCACTTTTCCCTGCTCTTCTCTACTCTGCTCTTCTCCGTCCTGCTCTGGTCTTCTCTACCTGCTCCTCTCTGCTGTTTTCCACTTGTCCCTGCTCTTCTCTATTCTGCTTTTCTCTGTCCTGTCCTGCTCTGCTCTTCTCTACCTGCTCCTCTCTGCTCTTTTCCACTTCTCCCTGCTCTTTCCTCTCTGCTCTGTTCCTGTCCATGCTGCCCTGCTCTTCTCCACTCTGTTGAGTTGCTCTCTGCTCTTCTCTACCTGCTCCTCTCTGCTCTTTCCACCTATTCCTGTTCTTTCCACACAGCTCTGCTCTTCTTCTCTCTGCTGAGCTCCTCTCTGCTCTTCTCTGCCTGCTCTGCTCTTTTCCACTCTGCTGAGCTACTCTCTGCTTCTCTCTACCTGCTCCTCTCTGCTCTTTCCACCAATTCCTGTTCTTTCCACGCTGTTCTGCTCAGCTCCTCTCTGCTGAGCTCCTCTCTGCTCTTCTCTACCTGCTCCTGTCTGCTCTTCTCCACTCTGCTGAGCTCCTCTCTGCTTCTCTCTGCCTGCTCCCCTCTGCTCTTTTCCATTTATCCATGCTCCTCTCCACTCTGCCCTGCTCCTCTCCAGTCTGTTGAGCTCCTCTTTGCTCTGACTCTCCACTCTGTCCTGCTACACTATGCTCTACTAGCTCCGCTCCACTCTAAAAATGGTGTTTACAATGTATATATCTCTCCTTAAAGCCAAACTCCAGGCAGATATAAAAATCCCAGTAAATCCAGGTATTTTCATTAAAAATCTTGAAATGTATGTAATGTAATATACTCTTCATATTAGCACTCAAACTGTGAAGATGAGGGGTAGTTCTCTGAGCCCATCAGAGCTTTACTTCCAGTGTTGTCAGTCATCATTTTAAACACGTATACAGGTGGATAGAGCAGAGTGATGACCTCTTCAGTGTGCTGCATCCCCCTTCATTGCCCAATCACACTCTGGGGGGAAGGTTGGTGACCAAGCTATTTTTTTTTTAATAGAACAGTGAGGTTACCGGCCTGTGCAAATTATAACCCTATAAACCATAAAATAACCATTTAAACTATTCTATAACCTTACAAACCATAATGTAAACTTACAAACCATAGCAATCAAATGAACCGTAATAAAAACTATATAAACCATAAAATAACCCTATAAATCATAGTAACTATTTAAACTGATATAACCTTATGAACCATAGTAACCATAAATCTTAATATAAGTATATAAGCCATAATATACCCTTATAACCCCAATATAACATTATAAACCATAATCATGGGTGGACTGACCATTTGGAAACTCGGGCACTGCCTGAGGGTCCGGGGTCAGTAGGGGGCCCCATGAGATGCCCTTGGTACCTTTTTCATAGGCTTTTTTGAGTTTGGGCAAGGACACAGGGGTCCCATGATCCCCTATTGCCTGGGGGCCCCATGAGTTGTCAGTCCACCCCTGACCATAATATAACCTTATCTACCCCTCCAAATGTCACACTACTACCAGCCGTAACCTCCGCAACCTTAACCCTGCCTCCCTCCACTCTGCAGCTGATCAACTCCACGACCGCATCCTCCCCCTGTCTTGCCCCGACTTGGCTTTGACCGCCTACAACAATGCGCTCTCAACAGCCCTTGACTCACTAGCGCCTTTAACCACACGCAACACCAGACCCCGACCGCTCCAGCCCTGGCAGACTGATCACACCAAAACCCTCAAACGACAAAGTCGTGCCCTGGAGCGACTATGGCGCAAAACCAAATCCAAACAAGCCTTCACCCGCTACAAATCTGCCTTCCGCACCTACACCTCCTCCCTCCATGCTGCCAAACAGGCCTACTTCTTGACCCTCATCAAGGCCCTCTCCTCCAATCCTCGCCGACTCTTCTCTGCCTTCAACTCTCTACTCTCTCCACCCCCCCACCTCCACCCAGCACCTCACTCACTGCCCTTGAGATTGCCAATCACTTCAAAAACAAAATTGACACAATTCGCAAGGACATTGCCGCAACTCACACGCCCTCTCAACCTGTCCCCTCTCACACAGCTACCCCCTTATCCCCCCTCCCCCTCGACATAACCCGCAGGGACTTCGTTGCTGCTCAAACTCTCTCCAACCCCCTTCACCCTCACTCAGCTACCCCCTCATCACCCCTCTCCCACGGCCCCACCACTGCTCTGACCTCCTCTTCCACCCCACCCTACATTCCTCATACTGAAGCTCCCCCAACACTCCACACCTTTGACCTTACTACCATCGAGGAAGTCTCCAAGACCCTCTCTGATGCCCGCCTCACCACCTGCCCCCTCGACCCTATCCCCTCACAACTCCTACGACCTTCCTCCTCCTCCATCCTACGCTCCCTCACCCCACATCTTCAATCTCTCCCTCTCCTCAGGCACTTTCCCCTCCCCTCTGAAACATGCACACATCACCCCCATACTTAAAAAGCCCTCCCTGGACCCCAATGACCCGAACAACCTCAGACCCATCTCCCTGCTCCCATTTACATCTAAACTCCTCGAGCGCCTAGTCTACACCCGCCTATGCTCTCACCTCAACGACAACAACCTCCTCGATCCCCTACAGTCCGGCTTCCGTCCCCTACACTCCACCGAAACTGCCTTACTCAAACTCTCCAACGACCTGCTAACCGCCAAAGCTAATGGACACTATTCAGTGCTCCTACTCCTTGACCTCTCTGCGGCCTTCGACACAGTCGACCACCCCCTCCTCCTCAAAAAACTACACTCCCTCGGCCTCAGAGATTCTGCTCTCTCCTGGATCTCATCCTACCTGTCACAACGCTCTTTCAGCGTTACCTATAATGCTACCACCTCCCCCTCACTCCCCCTCTCTGTTGGGGTCCCTCAAGGCTCTGTCCTCGGGCCCCTTCTCTTCTCCATCTATACCTCCTCCCTTGGCCAACTCATACACTCTCACGGCTTCAACTACCACCTCTATGCCGACGACACACAAATCTATCTCTCAACCCCCCACCTCACCCCCTTGGTCTCAGCCCGAATCACACACCTACTGAGCGACATATCAGACTGGATGTCGCTCCACTTCCTTAAATTGAACCTCTCCAAAACCGAGTTTCTTGTCTTCCCCCCAGCCCGGACACCACCCCCCATTGATTTCTCCGTCACATCCAACAACGCTACCATCAAACCCGCCCTGCAGGCCAGAGTACTTGGTGTCATTCTGGACTCCAACCTATCCTTCCAGCCCCAAGTCCAATCTTTAACAAACTCGTGCAGACTCCACCTCCGCAACATCGCCAAAATCCGCACGTTCCTAACCCTAAAAACCACTAAACAGCTCATCCACTCCCTCATCATATCACGACTCGACTACTGCAACTCCCTCCTCACTGGCCTGCCTCGCCGCTGGCTATCCCCTCTTCAGTCCATCCTGAACACGGCTGCCAGACTCATTCACCTTTCCAACCGCTCTGTCTCCGCCACCCCCCTCTGCCAATCCCTCCACTGGCTTCCGATTGCGCAACGGATCAAATTCAAAATCCTAACGCTGACGTACAAAGCTGTCCACCATACTGCCCCGAACTACATCACTGACCTAATATCCAAGTACCGCCCAGCACGCACACTCCGCTCCTCACAAGACCTCCTTCTCTCTAGTTCCCTGGTCTCCTCCTCCCATGCCCGCCTCCAGGACTTCTCCAGGGTGTCACCCATCCTCTGGAACTCCCTGCCCCAACCCATCAGATTATCACCTACTCTCCTCTCCTTTAGGCGCACCCTGAAAACCCATCTCTTCAGGGAAGCCTACCCCACCCCCTGCTAACTTGCCTCCCTCCTCCACTCTTCCTACCACTCCATCCCCCACAGCTATCTCCTCCTGTGCCACCACCCCCTCCCTCCTAGATTGTAAGCTCGAAAGAGCAGGGCCCTCAATCCCCTCATGTTTTGCATTGTATTGGTATTGTTCTGTCACATGTTCTGTCTCCCTTTGTAATGTACAGCGCTGAGCGAACTATTGGCGCTTTATAAATACTGTATAATAATAAATAATAATAATAATCAATGATAATATTAACCATAAAAACGGTTGAAATCAATACAGCTTTATAACCCATAGTAATCATATAAACTGTAATATAACCATAGAAATCGTAACAGACATATAAATTGTAATATAACCGTATAAATCCAATTAACCTTATAATCTGTAATATAACCGTATAAATCCACATTAATTATATAACCGCATAAATCTACAAAAACTATATAATCTGTAATATAATTTGTAATATAACTATATAATATACAATAACTATATAATCTGTAATATAGCCATATAAATCTACAATAACTATATAATCTGTAATATAACCGTATAAATCTACAATAATAATATAATCTGTAATATAACCGTATAAATCCACAATAACTATATAATCTGTAATATAACCGTATAAATACAATAACTATATAATCTGTAATATAACCGTATAAATCTACAATAACTATATATAATCTATAATATAACCGTATAAATCTACAATAATAATATAATCTGTAATATAACCGTATAAATCCACAATAACTATATAATCTGTAATATAACCGTATAAATCTACAATAACTATATAATCTGTAATATAACCGTATAAATCCACAATAACTATATAATCTGTAATATAACCGTATAAATCTACAATAACTATATAATCTATAATATAACCGTATAAATCTACAATAACTATATAATCTGTAATATAACCGTAAAAATCCACAATAACTATATAATCTGTAATATAACCGTATAAATCTACAATAACTATATAATCTGTAATATAACCGTATAAATCTACAATAACTATATAATCTGTAATATAACCGTATAAATCCACAATAATTATATGATCTGTAATATAACCGTATAAATCCACAATAATTATATAATCTGTAATATAACCGTATAAATCCACAATAATTATATAATCTGTAATATAACCGTATAAATCTACAATAACTATATAATCTGTAATATAACCGTATAAATCCACAATAACTATATAATCTGTAATATAACCGTATAAATCCACAATAATTATATAATCTGTAATATAAATATATAAATCCACAATAATTATATAATCTGTAATATAAATATATAAATCCACAATAACTATATAATCTTAATATAACCGAAAAAATCCACAATTATTATATAATCTGTAATATAACCGTATAAATCTACAATAACTACCGGTATATAATCTGTAATATAAATATATAAATCCACAATAACTATATAGGTGTCCGTTTATGACACAGAGAATAGCTGCGATTCAACGGATCTCAGCTATTTTCTGGTCATTCACAGTTTATGACACTCAGAAGATCATGTCAGCCCTTCTCTGGAGATCTGTGTTCTCCCTCCAGATTCTCCAGCCCAGAGCTGGAGAATCGGAGGGACCGCAAACTAAGCAGAGATAATTTACCTCTGTTTAGTAAACTGATCTTTTACTGTAATCTTGCGAGATTATAGTAAAATCAGCCGTTTTCCAGATTTTGTAGACCGTTCTCCAGCGTTTGGAGACCGTTCTCCCTTCGTTCGGAGAACTGCATCATAAACTGCATTCACAGGAGAACTGTGTTCTCCGAGAATGCCGGAGAACTGAGCAGCGATCTATTACCGCTGGTTCATAAACGGACACCATAATCTTAATATAACCGTATAAATCCACAATAATTATATGATCTGTAATATAACCGTATAAATCTACAATAACTATATAATCTGTAATATAACCGTGTAAATCCACAATAACTATATGATCTGTAATATAACCGTATAAATCTACAATAATAATATAATCTGTAATATATCCGTATAAATCCACAATAACTATATAATCTATAATATAACCGTATAAATCTACAATAATAATATAATCTGTAATATAACCGTATAAATCTACAATAATAATATAATCTGTAATATAACCGTATAAATCTACAATAACTATATAATCTGTAATATAACCGTATAAATCTACAATAATAATATAATCTGTAATATATCCGTATAAATCTACAATAATAATATAATCTGTAATATAACCGTATAAATCTACAATAACTATATAATCTGTAATATAACCGTATAAATCCACAATAATTATATAATCTGTAACATAACCGTATAAATCTACAATAACTATATAATCTGTAATATAACCGTATAAATCCACAATAATTATATAATCTGTAACATAACCGTATAAATCCACAACAATTATATAATCTGTTTTATAATGTTATAAATCCGTAATCATTATATAATCTGTAATATAACCGTATAAATCCACAATAATAATAATATAATCTGTAATATAACCGTATAAATCTACATTAAATATATAATCTGTAATATAACTGTATAAATCCACAATAATAATATACGGTAATCTGTAATATAACCGTATAAATCCAGATCTGAAAGGAAAGAGGAAACATTGATTCCTGCCAGGATCATTCTTCATGGATCCCCTAGGACACTCTTATCTTAGTTTATATTTTACTCTCTATTTACAGAAATACAAACAGTTGTAAAATAATTATTCAGAGAATGTGGATGACTGAGGGCTGAGCAGGCGGCCTTATTTATGCGTGGGCTGGAAATAAGAACTGCCTGTGGTGCACAAATCTGTCAAGCTGATCTAAGGAAGTTATTTCTTCTTATTTAAATCTGACCTCCACCCTTCTCTTCAGTCTTGCACAGTTGTACAGGCTCCTGTTCTGTACTGAGATGACCGATTTCACTGCACACTGTGAGCTTCTCACAATGTGCATTAAAAGCTGCAGCAATCAGATAGAGCCTGCACATCAGAGGCACATTAATACAATAGTTAGATGGTGTCTGGTTTTTGGTCTTCTAAGCAGTGACTAGAGATATCTTTTCGTTGCAGAAAAATAAAGGGATCACAGTGAAGGAATTGCGCTATCTGTGGGGGATCATCAATGAGAGTATCTTGCAGACCATACAGAGGGCACTGCCACAGAGACACCCGACTCGCCCGTATATCACTGAACTGCAGAATATATTCAAAGTTTTGCTGAGAGACACAGATGAGCAGGTAATGTGAATATCTGGCCTCATGCAGAAACTATGTACTAAATATACAAGACTGGTCAGCTCTAATGGTCAGCTATAATTATCAGCTGAAATGGTTAGCTCTAGTGGTCAGCTCTAGTGATCAGATATAATGGTCAGCTGCAGTAATTGGTTATAATGGTCATCAGCTGTAATGTTCACCTCTAGTGATCCGTTCTACTGGTCACCTCTAAGTGCCGGTTCACTCTGATGCGGTGTGGAATTCGCACAGGTTTCTGTGCAATTCCAACGCCACATCAAAATCGCACCCTGTTCATGCGAACTGTGCAGGGAGGGGGTCTTCAAATTTAAAGGATTGGAGGTGCCCTCTGGAAAAGGGGTGTCAAACTGGAGGCCCTCCAGCTGTTGCGAAACTACAAGTCCCACCATGCCTCTGCCTTTGGCAGTCATGCTTTAACTGTCAATCTTGCAATGCCTCATGGGACTTGTAGTTTAGCAACAGCTAGAGGGCCGCCAGTTTGACACCCGTGCCCTAGAAGGACCTGGTTGTGTGTTGAATGTGCCATCTTTTATTAACAAATAAAAACAAAATGGCGCTGGGAGAGGACCACACATATAAAAGTCTAGGTATGGTTAGTGACAAACGACGGATACAGCAGGAGAAATAAAATAGGGGAATAGGCAAACAATAATAATGAGATCAAAATTGGGTGGCAATAAAGCAACAAATGGAGACATGAAAGTCCATAGTCCAAGGGTCCTAGGTGGAGGATGGATGGCGAAGGCAGCTTCCCATAGAGTGAAGCAGAACTCTGTAGAAGATAAATGGGACACAAGGGGGCGCCCCCTTGTGTCTGATTCATCTTTTATTAACAATTGTTATACGGGGATATCTCTTTGCTGAATATATGGGGATGTCTCTGCTGACTTGGGCTGTCTCTTTGCTGAATTGGGTTTTCTCTTTGCTATATGGGGATGTCTCTTTGTTAGATTAGGCTGTCTCTTTGCTGAATATATGGGGATATCTCTTTCCTGGATTGGGCCATCACTTTGCTGAATATATGGGAATGCAAGCACTGATAACTTGGAGTACACTTTTCATTTTCATACATTTAGTTGTAACAGTGTTAAAAGGAAAGTGGGTGCACTGAAGGACTCAGTGGGAGGATTCAGTGGGACGGCCAGTGGGCAGACCCTGGGGAATATTGGTGGTCAGGCCCGGGGGAGGCCCAGGCCTAAAGCTGTGTAAGGGGCCACAAAATTTCTGATGGCTGCCCTGGCTGAAATGGTCAGCTCTAGTGGTCAGTTCTAGTGATCAACTCTAATGGTCAGCTCTGGTGGTCAGTTCTAGTGATTAACTCCAATGGTCAGCTCTAGTGGTCAGCTCTAATTGCCAACTTTATTGCTCAGTTCCAATGGTTAGCTGTAATGGTAAGCTCTAATGGAGAGTTCTAGTGGTCAGCTCTAATGATCAGATTTAGTGATCAGCTCTAAGGCCTCCTTCACATTTGGGCGTTTTGAATCGTGAGCAGAATAGCGGCTATTCTACCTGTGATTCAAAATGCCCAAGTGTGAATGGGGCCTAATGGTTAACTTTGGTGGTCAGTTCTAATGTTGATCTCTAACAGCAAGCTATGGTGATTAGCTCTAATGGTCAGCTATAGTGGACAGTTTTAATGGTCATTTTTAGTGGTCAGCTCTATTCTTTGGTTCTAATGAGGTAGAGATTGTGACATCTCCTGCCTGCCTCTCCACCTCAGCCAATCAGAGGAAGCCTTGTATTTATTGATAAAAATACAAGGCTTCCTGTGAATGGCTAAGCAGCGCTCAGCCTGACTCAATTTTGTACCGAAAATGGAATGGGATGTCCCCATACTGCTGCAGGAATACAACACTGTGTACTGATAGCTGATGCTACATACGGTTTGTTCAGCGCTGACAGCAGGCTCATCAGTTAGTAAAGGAAATAGTTTTTTGGACGATCGTGATTCAAACAAACTATTTAAAGTCATAGTATGCCTGGAGTTGGGTTTAGGTGTAATGAATCAGCTACTGCAGAGAATGAACTGCTGCACAGAATTGATACAATGTTGCAGAGAAGGAACTCCATTATTTGACAAGTTTACCGGACTGAAACCCTTCACAGATCACCATAGGCAGGATACCTTTGGCACTGAAGCTGCTGTGAAACTACAAGTCCCATGAGGCATTGCAAGACTCTGGTAGCCACAGGCATGACTCCCAGGGGGAGACACACGATGGGATTTGTAGTTCCCAGGGGTGGACTGACAACTCATGGGGCCCCCGGGCAAAAGGAAATCATGGGGCCCGTGTCCTCGCCTACACTCAAACCACACCCAAAACAGCCTATGAAATCTCTTGGGGCCCCCTACTGACCTGGGCCCTCGGACAGTGCCCGAGTGCCCAGAAGGTCAGTCCGCCCCTGGTAGTTCCCCTACAGATGGAGTGCCAGATCTTGCCTACCCCTGACCTAAAGTAAACAACGGAGTTCCATCTCTGCAACATAAAATTGTATCACTCTTGTATAGCAGTTTACTCTGTGCAGTAGTTGATTGATAACAATGTCAGTAGTGAGCTCAGGAATCTCATATTATTTCCTCTTCTGGTCGAATGTTCTTAGTCTTGTCTATAGATTTTCTTTATTGGCTGAATAATCGTTACCTCTTTTGGTCAAATGTTCCAAACTCTATTTTCTCTTAGACACTAATTTTAGGGAATGTTACATTCACCCTGCTAAAGGCAACAATAGAAGCTGACCTTTCACACATATCACAATGATTATGGAGATTATTTGTGATTTTTATGCAAATGTTGAAACATTTGCACAGCAATTAAAAAAAAAAATACACCCCATACGTTCCTGAGGACACAAAAACCAAATGACATGTTTCTTCAAGGACATGATGTACCAAAGTTTGTTTTCTTGGCGTTCATGCTTTGGACAGATATATCCAATTCTATGTAATTCATGAAGAAAAGTCATTCAATTTTGGTGGTCAGCAAGATATTTAACCCCTTATTGACTGCTGACTTGTTTTAATACATTGGATTCAGTAGTGGTTAGCAAGGAGTTAAATATCATAAGGACCCATTGATGCTCCATGAAAACAAACTGTTCAGTTGTCACCCAACAATCCTTCTATCGCTGATACATCCTGAACTCCCACAATGCAGAAAAATGTCAAACATTCCGGGCGATCCCCATAACAGACAGATGTGTCATATCCCCAATGACCGCCACTGGGTGACGCCAACCCACCTAGACAGGGCTGACTAGTCGGATGTGGTCCATGATAGTGCAATCCCAGCAGCTGCTGCAGAAGAATTTGGACCTGTCCACTCTCTCGGGGCATTGAGAATTAATGAGTGTATTGTTCTGGAATTATTTTAGTCATTTCTCAGGTCACATGTCTTTCTTGAACTCAAATATGAGTCCAAATATGAAGTCTAAGGCACCTTATGTCTGTCTTACAGCAGGTGGAAAGTGACCTGGTTCTGAAACTTCTGGAACAGTTGAACCAATCAGAAGACAGGATGAAAGCGGTGACCCCGAAGGCTCTTCTGGACAACTGCTTCAAAGTCCTGTACGCCCTGTACGAGGTGGAATGTGCGCTGTGCAACCCCAGGTCAGATGTGGAGGACACACTTTGCCCTCCTGAAACTCTTCCAGAACCTATTAATCATCAAAGAACGCCTTGTAAGAGTTAATAGCGGGAGTCTTGTGCTACTGCAAATCAGGGGAATTCAGGGATGACTCAAAGCTGAAAAATGCCACTTTCCCCGCTGGAGAAATTAGCAGGAAAGGCTGTGTGACCACCATTGACCACAATATCATCATTATGTCCCCAGCATGAGGATGGGGCTGCACCACCTTGCACAAAGCCAAAGCCATGACTGTTCTGTGTAACAGGAAGAGATGTATGAATGGACCTCATATGGACTCAATGAGCCACCCCAGGGGGGGAGGGGGGAGTCATTTTAATTTATAAGAGGACGCAAGGAAATAATCTTCATATTTTATATTGTGTCTGATTGTGGAGAAAATGCCAGAGATTTGTTACAACTCATATCTGGGGCTTTGATTTTCTTATGATTAAACTGGATTGATGGATGGATAGATGATTGGATGGATGGATGGATGGAGGATAAATATCATATAGTATTTATTTTATTACCTGAACACTATATTTATAATCTTAGGGCTCTTATAACTGAAACAGAAGTTCCCAAACAGACTCTCAATACAAAGTCTGATGCTGGTATGTCTTATGGTGGACCCCTATACTGGTAAACACCTTTGCTGGGTATTCCCTGTGCTGAAAGGTCTCTTTGTTGGTTGGTCCTGGTTCAGTTAGTCCTTGTGCTAGTGGTTTAAAGTGGTGGTGTGATCCTTTTCTGATTGATCCCTATGTTGGTTGCCCCTGTTTTGGGTGATCCCTGTGTTGGTTGGTTTCTGTTTAGGGGCTCCTGTACTGGTGGGCCCCTATGCTGGTTGTTCCCTGTGCTGAAAGGTTTGTGTTTTAGTGTGTTCCTGTGCTGGTGAGCCCCTTTGCTGATGGATTCCTGTGCTAGTGGGATCCTGTAGTAACGGGTTCTTGTGTTGGTAGGTCCCTGTGCTGTTTGATCCCTATGATAGTAGGCCCCTGTGCTGGTTATTACCAATGCTGGTGGGCACCTGTGCTTGTTGATGCCTGTGCTGAAAGGTCCCTTTGTTGGTTGGTCCCAGTTCAGTGGTCCTTCTACTAGTGGGTTCTGGTGGTGGAGTGATCCTTTTCTGATTGAACCTTTTGCTGGTGGATTCCTGTTTTGCTTGATCCCTCTGCTGATTTGTTTCTGTTCAGTTTCTCCCTGTTCTGGTTGGTTCCTGTGCTGGTGTGATCCTTTGATGGTTAATCCCTATGCTGGTGGGCACCCATGCTTGTTGATCCCTGTGGTGAAAGGCTCCTTCATTGGTAGGTCCCAGTTCAGTTTGTCCTTGTGCTTGTAGGTTCCTGTGCTGGTGGGACCCCCGTTCTGGTTGATATTGTGCTGGCTGGTTTCTGTTCAGGTGCACCATGTACTGGTGGGTCTCTGTGCTGGTGGGCCTCTGTGCTGGTGGATTCTTGTGTGGGAGTACAGTAGACAGCCATGCTGTTTGGCATTGTACAGTGCTGTTGATCATACACAGGGATTGCTGATAGGAGGAGAGAGCAAAGGGATGACCTCATCAATATTCTGATGCTCCCTATCCAGTTACAGGCCTGGGAAGGTCCATGACCAAGCTGTAATACTTTATCAGCACTGGCAAGAAGGGAAGACAGGGAGTTGGCTATGCTGGTTAATAAAAGGGGGTGTGGGTAAATCTCAACAGGGATAACAGGACTGCAATTTTTTTTTTTAGGTAAAAGCCTTCTGTATTTCATCTGTGTATTTAAAGGATTCCCTGGAGCTCTGCTTTAAACTTGTTTCTTTACAAGGACCAAACCAGAGATAATCCCTGAGACCTTTTTTGTCTATAAACCCTCATTCAAAATTCCAGGACTTTTCATCTTCAATGGATGTCCTTGTTAATAAATCGCAACCCCGCCAGAACTCTATGTAGGATAATTCCTCCCACTTCAGTCAAAAGCCCAGTCAGGTCATTTAATCAGGGTCTCAGGTTTGAGTAGAAATCATTTTGGTGAAGGCGGTGATGTAGATAATACAGATTATGTGCAACGATACAGATAATACAAGTACAGATGATGTTCCAGGGTGCAGATAATATGATTACAGATAATGTTCCATAAAGTATGGACCTCTATGGGGCCTGTTATAAAATTTGCTGAAATAATCATATTATGCCAGATTCAGTGAATGTAAATTACCTCCAAAATGTACAGCAATACTGAGCAGTGTGCTCTGGAATCCTACAGTAGTTAGTGACATGACCATATGCCTTGACTTTGACCCCCATGATCTCAGTTATAGGGAACAATGGGCCAGTGTGCCTCCCCTTCCATAGAGATCACGTGGCCAAGTTCTGAAGCACAGGTGTCAAACTGGTGGCCCTCCAGCTGTTGCCAAACTACAAGTCCCATGAGGCATTGCAATATTGACAGTTACAAGCATGACTCCCAAAGGCAGAGGCATGATGGGACTTGTAGTTTTTCAACAGCTGGAGGGCCACCAGTTTGACTCCCCTGTTATTGTTCATGTGGCAGGCTACACCTATGTTTTCAGGTTGGCATACTTTTTGCTTTACATCTGTTTGTCGAGTATTGACTGCATGCTGTTCATATGGTGCAGGTACATATCCCTCACTTTTTTCTTTGTGTTTTTCACTTGCATGACAGAATGATAATGCTTCTGTGAGCTCCTGCCACTGCATGACCAGGACTGCATAACCAGGATTGCATGACCAGGATCATAGGACCAGGATTGATTGACCAATATTGCATGATCAAGAGTTGTATTACAAGGATTATATGACCAGGATTGCATGACCAGGATGGTATGACCAATTTTGCATGATCAAGAGTTGGATTAAAAGAATTGTATGACCAGGATTGCATGACCAGAATTATATGAACAGGACTACATAATCTGAATTGCATGATCAGGATTGTATGAACAGGACTGTATAGCCAAAACTGCATGAACAGGATTGCATAACTAGGATTGTATTATCAGGATTGCGTGACCAGGATTTTACAACCAGGATTGTATGAACAGGAATGCATGACCAGGATTTTATGACCAGGATTACAAGATCAGGACTGATTGTATGACCAGGATTGCATGACTTGTAGCCGAAGTCCAATTACTTGTCCGGCCAACACAACAAAGGTCCTGTCCTTGCACGCAACTAGCAACACACCATCCTCTGCTTTGCAAAAAATGTAATTAAACCATTCTGTCCATGATGGGAATGTACGGATGGGTTCCTAGGATCTACATAAACATGGAACTGCAATCTTTGTCTGATTTATGTTGAAATTCTGTCTCCCAAACACCCAATTTACTGATATATCCAGGCAAGCTGAGACCTTCCCTGGATAATCAGAAACAACTCCAACTGGAATATCTCTCATTGGATTTTACTCCTGACCAATCATGCCACAAGATTCCCATTTATATATCTTAATAGAGAAGAGACAAACATTCAAAAAGCCAAAAACAGTCTTTTTATATCATCGAGCCAATATTAGTGCTGAATGAATGTAACAGCAGAGCGTCCAAGGAAAGGATTTCACAATGGTGTCAGATGTTATTTTTGATTGTCCCTTTAAATAAGGGAGCTCCTTGGCCATACATAAAGCAAAGGACAAGAAAGCAGAGAACAGTGTGAGTTGAGTAAATCATGGAAGAAACAATGTAATTTACAGAATTCATTCAAGGGGAACAAGGAGAAAACAATACAAGACGCATTAGGGTTGGGGGTGGGTAAGGGATCCTATCAGAGGGGGACTGAGGTGTCAGCTATGGTTGGAGATACATGAGTGATCTCTATTAGCTCAGTCATGTTGCTAAGATCTCTTGTGATTATTCATAATTGATATTGATTACACAAGGTACATGTAATATTGATCCATTGCACACAATTGGAGTGTTGTGCAGTTTGCACTATAAGGAGCTATTTGTTCCATAAACCTATCACTAGTATTGAAAATGGCATCTAGTAGTACTTAAGCAGGCCATAGATGGCTCAAATTATGGCTGGTTCAGCAGGGACCAGCTGAGATTCAATCCATGTATGGGGAGGTTGGTTGTACCCAAGCTGATCCATCAGTCGACTTGGGTACAACTAGCAAGTTGGATTGTCAGGATGTGATTATTGCCAGCGGCTACAGCTGCTAGCAGTAATCACTGTGTTCTCCCAGCAGGAACGGCTCCCCATTCTCCCCTGGAGAACACAATAGGTACATGGGAGGGATTTCCCCATCAACGCGGACTCTGTTAATGGGATAATCGAGCGATTATGACCAGTATATATGGTCTGCCTTAGTCACATTCAGCTGGACTTGTTCTGTAATGTTGAAGATGTTTTGTAGCTTTTCCAAGACACTTCTTCAGTTCTAATGAGTATTAGATAAATACCCCACATAAATATCCACACAGGTAGCACCAAACCCTTCATCTAACTACCAAGGAATGTGTCAAGGCAGATGTTGATTGTACAAGAACAAGATGGGAAGTTGTGGAACCCCCTTCCTGAATCTCAAGCAAATAAGGGAAGATATTACAAGACAAGGGTGGTTGCACAAGTCTCACATCTCCCATCCTGGTCTTGGACAATCAACATCTGCCTTTACACATTCCATGGTGCAGGAATAAAGGTGTCCTTGCTGCCAGTGTGGTTATAAATAGCGGAGTATCTTCTTGACACAGAGGATAGAATTATGGAACTAAAACAATAGGTTCCACAACTTTCACACTTCCCATCCTGTTCATGGTCATTAACACCTAGGCAGACTTCCTGACACCAAGGATGGGATGTTGTAACTAGAATATAGAAGTTCCAGAACCTTCATACCTCCCATTCAGCTCTCAGGCAATCAGCATCTGCCTTGACACATTTCATGGTGATTGGATGAAGGTGTTGGTGCTACCTGTGCGGATAGAAATGTTGGATTTGCTTGGAGAAGTTATGAAATGTCTTCAACATTACAGAGTAAGTCCAGTTGAATGTGATTTCTATTACTAGATCTACCATGACCGTGATCTCTTCACAGATACTATTAGAATATAATTAACTTTGGATATAGTGATCAGGCTACTTCATATCACCTGTGTAGTGAACACACACAAGACAGCTTCTCTGGTCTGCATACAGAATCTCTGTGTTAGCAGTAAATGGTGTTAGAATGGAGTGGACATGCAAAAGCTTGGTCTTGTGACCAGTGAGCCGTCCATGACCCAACCAGGTCACTGTCCAGTCCAGAAGACTACTGACATTTTTATATATTGACCCGTGAATGTTATTAAAAGCTCTTTTTTGATAAACCAAATCTGAATGTATTCTTTTTGACCTTCAATTCTCAAATTGGAGAAATGCAAGTTTAAGTTGGAGACATGCAGGTGAAAGTGAAGACATGCAGGTAAAGTGCCAATTGATGAATGAATTCAAGGGGACCTGTCACAATGGCTGTGTTGAAGGCTGGTTCTGCCCAATCCCCGGGTGCATTGCTACTTCTAGGATGCCAATGCATGTGATGCTACAGAGGTGTCACCTCATCCCTTTAAACTCGAACACATATTAATTACACAGGTTCTCTGAGGCTAATTTAATGCAGGTAAGGCACTAAGTGAGTTTAATTACCACCTTAATCAGCCACAGAACCTGTGTAATTAATATGTGTTTGGGTTTAAAGGGATGAGGTGGCAACCCTAGTGTCACCACTCCTATAATTATGGAATCAGCAGGTGCCCAGTGATGGCCAGAAGAAGTCAGTCAATGACAGATCCCTGTAAACAGGCTCTGTGTGCAGGCTCCGCTCTCACCAGTGATTTCCTGGTGTCCCGCCATGTTTCAGGTTCACATCAGCATATCACCAGCGTAGGATTCATTGTACACCGTGAGAGTCGCTCCTGCAACAGACGTTCCCAGGAACTTTGTTAATCAATGAATGTAACATAAAGTCTCATAAATATATATATTATAGAGTATGTATCGGACTTTGGTGATGTATTTTTATATATTACAATGATTATTATTTGTGTGTGACAACATTTTCTAACAGAATAAAGTTTTGATAATCCACTTCTGCGTCTCTCCGGTCTCCTGGCTGGTCATTGTTCTTATTACGTTGTCATTGTCATATACAGTATGCATTCTTTTTCCTTCAAGCCTCTTCTCACCTGTGTGTTGCAGCAACATGCGCTTTACCATGTGTTCCCACAATGCAAGGCAACATACCTGCTCTGTGGACTTACCCCCAGTTCAAAAATATGCAGCCATGAGGGACGTGTTTTACACGAGCACGAGAGCCCATTCATTTGAATGGACTCCTGTGCCCGTGACACGCAGGGAAGAAGTCCCTGCACTTCTTTGGAAAACACAGCCCACACAGGAACCTCGGTTCCCAGTACGGTGGCGATTTCCAGTGCGGGCGGCGTGACATTAGAACTAATGGCACCCACCTGCGGGTCCGCATTTCTCTGTGTGGGTGGTGCGGCTGCACGGATTTTCGTGTGGATTCACAGCAGCACCACCCGCACAGATGTGAACCTAGGGTTACCTCTGGTTCACATATATGCGGCCGTGTGGGCCGTGTTTTGCACAGGCATGAGAGACCATTCATTTGAATGGACTCCCATGCCCTTGACACGCAGGGAAGAAGTCCCTGCACTTCTTTGGAAAACGCAGGCCGCATGGGAACCTCGGTTCCCAGAACGGTTGCGTTTTCCAGTGCGGGCGGCACACAATTAGAACTAATGGCACACGCCCACGGGTCCGCATTTCTCTCTGCGGGTGGTGTGGCTGCACAGATTTTCGTGCGGATCCGCAGTGGCACCACCCGCACCTATGTGAACCCCTGTCCATGCCATAAAAAATAAACCAAAAATCATTAAAGAAGAAATAGAAGGATGTTGTACTTACCAATTTCTGAATTTACTTTTTGTTGCAGGATACTTGCTCTAAGTGTGGTGCCATTCATGCTGAATGGCACCCCAGCGCACTGCACGGAAAGGTGCAGCGCAAGGAACATACTAATCGCTGGGGTGCTCTGCAGGGCTAATAATAGTCATGTGTGTTTTTTTTATTATAATGAATTAGCTGCCTCAACGCAAAGCAAGTTAACGCGTGCCGTAATGTGCGGTATTGTACGCACATCAATGTACTGCAAGGTATTGCTTAAAGGAGAACTCCAGGCCAGAACTTCTTTACATGTTGTTGTTGCTGATTTCCTACCTTCACTCAATATGTCATCCGCAGGGACGGACTGGCAACTCATGGGGCCCCCGGGCAATAGGGGATCATGGGGCCCCTGTGTCCTTGCCCAAACTCAAAAAAGCCTATGAAAAAGGTACCAGGGGCATCTCATGGGGCCCCCTACTGATCTGAGTTTCCAAATGGTCAGTCAGCCCCTGGTCATCCATTTTCTGGTTCACTCAGTAGTTGCTCTGAAATAGCCTGTTCATTTTCAAATCAAACTGTTAATTCTCTTTGGTTTCCTCTTTGTAAGACCAATGGCTGCTATGCCTCCTATTCCCCCAGCCAGTGGCGTCCCTAAGCGGGTGCGGGGGGTGCACGCCGCACTGGGTGACACCTATCGCAAAGGATGACATCGGACCCTCTTCACGACCTCCACAAAAAGGAAAGTTTTAAAGCAAGCTGACGATCCCCGCAAGATGGATCGGATCTGTGGATT